CTTAGAATTGGAGTTTTAATATGATCTTCTAATACAAAACAAGACCCTCACACAACAACAAGAACCTTTCGCACTAAAAAAGTTTCAAAGCTACCACGATAAATCTAAACTCCATAACTTCAACAATATCAGCATGTTTTTTGTGTGATGTGTGAAAGAAATCATTAAATTGGACAATGTATGACAATAAATGATCCTCAAGAATAATTTAACTATATGGAAACAATTTAATTATATGGGGAATCAAGGTCAACAAGAAGGAAATTATGGTAGCAATTTTTATAAAGGTGGAAGACAACCTCACCTTAATAAAATGTGGAATCAAGATGATGTTGTTTCTTTAGATATAAAAGCCAAGCATGGAATATGTTAACTTTGCTTAAGCACTTCTCTGATAAAGCCTTGTTATTACCGCTAGTATTTAATTAAAAGCCCAACAAAAAAGTTATGACCTAACACACATTTTCTAATGTAATGCTCTTTGGAAAAATGATGGTACATAATATCACCATAGCCTCCATGTCTGTCTTCTATATCATTTCATCCTTTTTTAATTTGTTTTCTCTATGACCATGAGTAGCTAAACTCGCTTGTGATAGGGGTTGATATAGCTAGATCAAATCCATGTTTTTTTTTTGCTAAATTGATTATTAAGGTTTTTATTCAATTATTTGTTCTATTCTTCTACTCTTAATGCTTATTTGACTTGATTAGCCATAATATGATTTCTTGGAATTGAATGTTGTTAGAAAGTACTTTTGAACCATGAACTGAAAGAGAAACTTAATAAATTTTATAAATAAGAATGATTTAATATTTATTTGTCAAAATTTTTAACCTTTTTTTTTCTTAATGCAAATCATTTGGTTAAGCTTTGTAATAGATTGAAAGATTAATCAAAAGACTTATGCATTCACACCCAAAGAATTAGGGTTTAATTCATGATTTATTGGAATAATTCAATTAAAACCTAATAATTGGAGTTTCTCAATATACATGAGAACAATATAATGAAATCAAGTGTCAATGCTTTTATTCATATTAATTCAAATTATGTTTTTTTGCAATTCTAATCAATTGTAAAACCTTAAAAATATTAATTCATTATTTTTTCTTTAAATTCTTACAACAAAACCAATATATTATTTATAAGCTATCAGACACCCTCTACCCCACATACATAATTATACAATAAATAGAGATAAATAAAATTCTTCATAAATAAAATCCAAGTCTCTAACCACATAAGGGTAAAGAGCTCACATTCATAAATCATAAATCATAGTTTAATGCATAAATTATAAAAAAAATAAACTAAAATCAAGATCTTCTAAGCAATTTAACAAGAGTAACATTTTAAACTAATTCTAACTAAGCCCGATGTCACATGTCCTATCAGAGCACACCCCATAATGAGACATAAATCTCATCACCAACATCCTCATGATGATGATCACCTGCAATACAATAAAAATACACATAGAGCAACAAGGAAGTGAGAAACATCTCACTCGGGTACAGATGTAGAAATAAATATTAAGCAACACACACACAATCATAACAAATAACACGCAAGTTACACATAACCAAGCACAACTCTCAAGGTACAGATACATTAGAACACATGCACATTCACTTATCATGTAATGATGACATGGACTCGACTCATAAATGCATGCATGTGGCACTAGTCACATACCTCATCACATATCACATGGTATGCTGCCGAAGAAACATACCTAGAGTAGTTTAGGAGTACATGCACGACTCAACCCATGCATTTTCAACTAGAAGGATGTACTGCTAAGGTCTCGTCGGGATAGCGAAGCCACACAAGATACGTCTCATGTACACAAACGGGTAGAATTAAGCCTTCCAAATCGCGTTATCTCCTAGGACTCCTCCGAGATGTTTCACCTAAAGGGCCTTCCCTAACGGTGTATTCCATATCGTACCCCATCAAATACTCTATTGTTTTGGGTATTATTTGTGAGACTCTAATTAGTTTGACCTTGGGCACATGAGTTTGAACACGTCACTATGTAAACCTTGGGGAGCAAATGGGTCATTGAGTTGCACTAGAAATCTACCAAAAATTTACATTCAGGATAGTGATTTTTTCCATGTTACATTATTCTCTTTCATTTTTTTTACTAATATTTCTTAAAGTTCACATGTACGTTTTTACATCGTGATTGAAAATTAATGATTTTCAAGTGTATGTTCTTTTTATAAGATTTATTCATAATTTTACTTTGAAGAATGAGGAACTAGTTCACTTAAATTTCTTACTTTTTAGGGTCAGGTGATTGTTGTTGGGGTTGGAAGTTGGTTGAGCTACAAATGACTCAATTCAATAACAACTCAATAAATAATGCGTACAACTTAATAAGTTGTGCTTAAGCCAGAAATCATGATATTTTTGTTATATATGGAGGTCCACACTTAAATTTCATGTTATGTGACACATTTTCAACTAAAATATATAACATTCACTAACTCAAGTGGTACAACATTTGTTCTTTTTTTTTTCTTCATGAATATATACCATGTAATGTTTTAAATTTGATAATTAAATATTAATTCGTACTTGCAGAACGTGATTTCTACTAACTAAATATCATTTTAACACATAAAAATTGAACTTGGGAGCACCAAGTCAATTCCTTGTGTCACAAGGGAGGTCTTATAACCACCAATGTTTGTTCTCTTTAATAAAGGATCATGTTCGATCTCTATCTTGAATATGAAATTACAACTAGAAGTATTATTTTATTCTTATAGTAGTTAACTCGAAAAAAAAAAGTTATACCTCTTTATTAAATAAAAAAGAACTAATATATAGATACGAGTTAGGCTAATCTAATTAAAGTAGCTCGAATTTGGAGTTAGTTGAACTTGAAATAAAGAAATGGGTTACGTTCTAATAGAGTTGAGATATGTTGAGCTTATTCTCGTTGTTCCAAACTTGAGCATAAATTTCCAGTCCTAGATAAAGGGTATAGGATGTTTTCTTTATTATTTTTTTTACGAGAATTAGTATTTAATCATTTGGATTCACTTGGAAATAAACTTGATAGAATTCTTCTAAATAGGTTATAAACAACATCCAATAAACTAAAAGCATGATGTTTTACTCGAGGACTTTTTCTTCACCTTTCCTCACTCAAATCAAAAAGTCACATTTAAAACCTTCGTGTGTCATGTGTGCCTCAAAAAGCTCTCATTCGTGCCATTTAGGACATGAATGGGGAATTTTGAAGAGAGGCAAAATGAGGGATAATTTTTCATTTATAAAAACTATAAAATGTTTGGCTTTCGCCTTGCTAGATTTGATTACTTACTTTCTGAAGGAGATATCAAATGATATTTTTCGAATAATGCTTGATGAATTTTTTCCATATTTAAAAAATATTAGAGTAAAAAAGTTTGCTGAAAAATTATAATCATATGATAAAATTTGCACAAATGTGATTGTGACATGACGAATATTATACTATTTAAGTGCGTTAATTTTTGGGTCCCACTTGCATGATTGGATTACTGTGGAACCCGTGAAATTCTAATAAGTCTAGATCTTTAAAGAGCAATGAAGATGTTTTTGAATTTTTTTTTGTCTTCTGGATTTGTTCATTAGACAATTCCTGTGGAAATCTTATCTTGGGTAGAAATGTATGATAGATATCCCACTTATGAACTATTGCGTGTATGGTCCTCAGATTAGGATTTTAGTGATAACTTTTTTTTTAGTTTAAAGGAAATATCTTCATGAAAAGGACAAATTTGAAATGTATGCATATGAATTTCCGTTGGTGATTATAGTTATTTAGATAAAATAAGTATTTTTTTTTACATGAGTATTATTATTATGCATTTAAAATGATGTCTGAGGACAATTTCAATACGGTTTTTTTTTTCTTTCTTTTTTTGTAATGAATTTCAATACGGGTTTGATTGATAGTGGATTTAGTTATTATTTTAATACTTTTATTTTTATTTTATTGTGTTTATAGAAAAGTATTTACTCTAATGAAATGGATTTTGACTAAAATTTTTACATGCAAGAATATTTTTTTTTTATCTTATAAAGAAATTGAATTCTTTCGTATTATATTATAGTCATGGTTATGATTCACCATGTTTAGTAGTTATAAAATTTGTTAAAAAAAAATTGTCTTTTTCCTCAAATACTATCATATGCTATTTCTTAATAATAGGAGAAGATAAATCTTCTGTTGTGTGGTGACTATATAATAGTTTTTTTTAATCAAAATTCTATAATGTTAATAATTAACGCGACAATTTTGTGCAAGGGAAAAATATCAATAAGAGAAAAGATAAGCTAAATAATGTAAAACAATTTATAATATCATTTAATTATAAATCATTATATATGTTAAATTAGTAAAAAAAAAATCTATGTATTTTCGTTGTAAAGAACTAATAAAAGTATATGATTAACGTTAAATAGTGGAGTAATTGAACAATTTAGTCAGAGAAGTAAAAAAAAAATATGAAAAAATTGTCAACATCAAAATAAGATATTTATTAAAATTTATAATAATTATTTTAAAAATCATAATTTTTTTAACTAGTTGATATATCAATTTTTATATTAACGGTATATAATAATTAATTAAATTCTTAATAAAAATAAGAAATTTAATTTTAATATATTGTCAATATAAAGTAATAACTAGTTAGAAATTATCTTATAATTTTTTAAATAATTATAAAAAATAATAAGAAAAAATATTTTGTGTCTTTATATGTTTATTTTAAAAGAATTTAATTTTTTAAAAAATTTAAAAATAATAATACTCAAAATAAAAATAAAAATCAAAAGGATAATTACAAAAGTCTATTTTTCATAATAAGTATAGATTAATTTGTATATTTATCGCAAAGAAGTGTAAGATGATGTAAAAAAAAAAAAAAAAAAATATTAAACGGCGTCGTTGAATAAGTGACGACGATGATCAACAAAGTTTCTAGTTTTAACCAAACAGAAAAGAATCAGAAGTTTCTTTAGCGTCGTTTCTGTTCATCCCACTGGCACGCAGCAAAATCGGCATTGGAGAAGTAACTAACTAGAGCATGCCCACATTCTCTTACTTCAAAATTCGTTACCTTTTTCTGTGTATCGGGTTACAGTGTTGACGCAAAATGCAAACGGTTCGTGTTTGTGGGGATAATCAGCTATGGCGTTACGACGCCGTCTCGTTCTTCGGCTCTCGCGTGTCGTTTCGGAGCACCCGTGTGTCGTTTGGCGCTCCCAGAAGAAGCCGAGTGGTGTCCAAGGTTGTTAAGCGCAGCCCCAAGCGTCTCAAGTACACTTCCGGTTCTCGCTTCACCAAGGTTTGTTTTGACGTGCCACGTGTCGCGCAACTGTTAACTTTGATTGTTAGTTTTGACGGTTGGTGATGTTGAACAGGAGGATGGTTTGGTGTACGTTGAAGCAGACCCGTCTGCGTCTGACTCTTGGAAATTGGAACCGATTGTTAGTATGTTGAAACAAGGTGCTGTTGGTGTCATCCCCACTGATACCCTGTAAGTGTTCTTCAATTATTCATAAATGTTTGCTTTTGGTTGGTTTGGTTCATTTTTGTTTTTTTAAGCAGCTCAAGTGCTTATTTGGTTCAGTTTAGTTCATTTGACAAGTATCTTATGCTTTGTGCAATTACATTTGATCTGGGTTTTATGCCTTTTCTGTTTCCTTATCTTATTCAACCCGTTTTGACTGTTCAACATTTTGAGTCAGTTTGGATACCAGCTTAGAAGCGCATTCGAGAGTTTCTCTACCAAGAAGTACTCTATTTCGATAGAGAAACTCTCAAAGCGTTTTTAGTTTATATCTAAACAGACTCTTAGTTAATATAAACTGAAATAACATTTGTATATTCTCCTGTTGCATTGGATGATCTGGTTAAGGGAGAGAAAAGAAAATGAAGGAAAATCATCACATTTTTATGGTTTGTACCGTGTGAAAAGAATTATGAAGAGAAAACTATTGGTGCTATGTTTGAACTCAAATGAAATGTGTGTTGGTAATTAGAGGATGAGAGGGATACAGATCATAGGCATATGCCCGGAAGAGAGAATAAGTCCAAGAAGGTCATATTTTTTTATTAAAGATACAGCAATTGTACATGGTGCTCTTATTTGTACAAACTATTGAGCACTAACAACAAGCAAGTGACCTTAATAAACTAAGTGGTTAACTAACTCTATTGGAATTTTACTCTCCTAATAAGGAGTCACTCCCATTGAAGGTGTGTAAGACTTCTCCTTAACTTACCCTAAATGATGTTTAATGTCACATTAATTAGGGCTAATTATGTTTACCACTCCCGGGGTTGGCTCTGATTCCACTTGCACAGTTACACCCTACATGTTTGGAAAATTATACTTAGTTCTCTTATTTGATAGTTGATATATTATTCTTACACATTTTTGTTTTTTAAAATTTACACACACCTTGCATACTTTTATTTATAAACCACACACAGTACCTTAAAAATAACAAAAATAAGAGGTAGGTGGATGCAATTTTCTAAATAAGTGAGGTATAATAAGTTTAATTAACACTGATATCAGGGAGGTCAGTGCTTTCTCTACTAATAAGTTTTTCATATCATTAATCCTCGTGGCAGAAAAAGAAAATGTTTCTACATGTTAACTATGATATGATTGTGTGATATATAACAGTCCTATTATCCATTAATATCTTCTTATCTTCATGTAAATAAATTGATGGAGGTCCATAATTGCCCATCATTGGGTTTTCTTTCTTTATGTAGGTATGCAATTGTATGTGACCTCAGAAGCCACTCAGCCATTGAACGTCTTCGTAGGTAGGGAGCTTTTTGCCAATCTTAAATATTTTTTTTGTTCCTAGATTTTCCATTTTCGTCCCCATTAACATTTTTTTGTAGTGGTGTTGCAGAATCAAGAATATAGAAGCTTCAAAGGTGAGGAGTACTGCTTGTCTTAGTCACTTGTACATGTGCTTCCAATTGGTGTACTACTTTTCTCGTTATGGTGCATGCCACATGCTTGCAATCACTTTACATTTATTTAGGTTGGACTGTGTTTGACATAAAATTAACAACTTTCTCGATGTATATCTATACCTGGTAATATTACTTTCAATCATTAATGTTTATGATAACTCTTTTCTTGCAGCCTCTTAGCATCTTGTGCTACTCATTTCGGGACATAGACAAGTACACAGTTGGATTTCCACGTGGTGATGGTCAAGGCCATGCTAATCTATTCAAAGCTGTTAAGCATTGCTTACCTGGTCCTGTAAGTATGTTCTCTAGTTCTAATGAAAAAATAATTGATGAATTTGTGGACATTTTAATGATATTTGGAGGGTGAAATTTAATTGTAACCTGTCATTTCCTGTAGAGACCATGAATTACCATTCTACTTAATATAATCAAGTAGGTTCCCATTTATTTCCTGGTGTTCTCTGCCAACTTGAATGCCCTTGATAAAAATGATGTGTTTGTGTATATTAGCATAAAAAAAATCTAAAATTTAAACACAGTTCTTCAGATCTGTTTGCTGAAAACTTAAGGAACAAGGAGCTTTACGTTGTAGTTGTTAAGTGAATGGATGTCTCTATCAGTTCATTTATCTTTAATTGTTGTGTGTATGTATTTAAAAGCCTATGATGATTACTTCCTAACTATGTTATGCATCATCCTTACACTATAGTGTCTATGCTGCATAGTCTGCCAATTATTCATTAACTGTTCTTGAGTGACAGTACACATTCATCCTTTTTTATTGCTGAATTATTCATTAACTGTTATTGAGTGACAGTACACATTCATCCTAATTGCAAGCAAAGAATTACCCAAGCAATGCATTAGGTTTGGGACTTCTTCTGCCAAATATGCATCAAGAAAAAATGTGGGTGTCCGCATGCCTGATGATGCCATTTGCCAATCAATACTAAAGGAGATGGATGCACCATTAATATGTACAAGGTTTGTTGAAATTGTTTCATCCTTTTTTACTCTTTGCCTAGGGAAAG